ACACATATATATATATATATATATATTCCTGTTTTCAAACCAGTGTACATAACTTCTATCGAGGTTGTGCGACAGATGTTTCTTTGAACACGTCGCCTTCAATAAGAAAGGCTTTTTATTTATACACATGGAAAGTTGCGAGAATGATGAAAGATGCTGCTTGTACACCATTGACCGCGACATAACAAAGGTCTCGTTGAGTCCATAACGAACAACTCGTTGACTCCATTATATTTTAAATAAAGAGAGTATCACCAACGATCTTTATTATTCTGTCATCCTCTTTCTATCCTTTCTGTTTATTAACCGTTTCAGGGTTAATAAACTCATAAGAACGTATGGGTGTCTCACGCGTCACGCACACAAGCAGGGAGTTCGCTCGCATACACAGTCTATATTTATACGCTCTCAAGTGAATTCTCAAGCATTCGAATTTGGAGAGCGAGAAACAACAGCCATTTGCAATATCATTTTAATGACTTATTTGCCACGGTATTATTCATTATAAAATGTAAGAGAAATATCACTTGATGTCTCATTTTATCTTATTCAACAAGTATTCACTTAGGTAGTAAATGATGGTAAAAGAAAACAATGATAGATAAGACAATAATTTAAGGTTTATTATTGACTGTCCAAATGACAGATTAGATAGAAGAAACTATGCACTGTAGCTTAAATAAGCTAATTAAAGCAAATTAAAATAAGCAAATTAAAGATGTTTCCTTTCATTCTTTATTCTCGACGTTAGCTGTCTGGTTTAGTAACATAAATAATTGAAAGTGGCAATGAGAATTAAATCAGAAAACACTTGTTTTGAGAACTAGCCCTGAAATTTAAAAACATCTCCACAAAGTCTAGAAGAAAGTAAGAATTTATATTACCTTATTATAATGTATGAATTATTATAATATGAATGCACACTACACAACACACACACACACACATATGTAGCTTGAATGTAATTTATGAAATTATGTAATCCATCTACGTTAAATAAAATCATTACCTTATTCACACTGAGCGCTAATAAAATTCTCGTCTCTATTTATCATAAAAGCAGCCAACTTCGAAAATCGTTATTCCATTACTACAACTTCAATTCCGTTAACTTCACTTGTACGATGAAAGTTTCCTAAAATATTTGGCCGACTGCGATACATCATGCAATTAAATGTCAATAACTACGTCGGACATTTTGAATTGAATAAAACCAACGATACAGTCTACTATGCTATATCTATACGCTTTATGCGATAAGAAGAGATCAGATAACGATTTCTATAAATAAAGGTTCACAAAATATATCATTCGTCCCAAAACGTATTCAGTAAGACACGCTTTCACTTCCATTATAAGGAGACCTTGGAAACGGAAAATTTACATCGATCATTTGTAAAAATTATCTGCATACGGGAACAGGAACGGAAGTATTGACAGCGAAAAAAAAGATCATTGGAGATCTATCGCGTTAAGAAGAAAGTAAAAAATTTCGACAGAAATTACAAACAACTTACTCCCAGATAGGATCCACGGCCTGGCAGTATAAGTAATATCTTCGAAGACTAGAAAAATTGAGTTGTTGACGTCCATCAAGTCCTCTAGCTGCTTAGTGCTGGTCGGTGCATTTTCAGAGCTGGCCACAACGTGTCTCAGCTGCTGTTTCATCTCGATGAGTACCTTCGTGCCCATTTCTTTCGTTCTCGTCTTTTTCGATTCCTCGCATTCGACTTTTCCACCGCGTCGTGCGCTCTCTCTCTCTTTCTCTCTCTCTCTCTGTTCCTAAATGGCCAGCGTGACTTATCAACACTAGAGGACACAGATGAAACACACGCATATAAACACCGTGACGAACAATAGACGGAACGAGAAAGGGAAGAAACGAGAGACCGAGGTTCAGTACAGAGCCTGAAAGAATTGATTGTCGCATTTCATAATCGTCGCTGCCGTGGGTGGACGACGTTCACGGTTCATTATTCAAAGCAACCATGGTTCGTCCGCGTTCGTAACTCATATATGCCTGCTATTATATTTTATATATCTCTTTTCGTCGTTCGATCTAAAAAATATTACACGTATAATGTGATATCGCGATCGAGAACGTACGCGTACCGATAAAAACGATAGTAACTTCAAGTAACGTAGTTACCAATGAGAAATTGAAAGAACTCTTGGCCTAGTGTTATTCACATTCTTTTCAATTTGAATTGCAAATATTGGCGTGCATAACATGCATCTGCGATGAAGCACTCTCACACCGTGGAACAAACGAAGCAAAGGATAAAGTTAGAGAATTTCAATCTAATTTTCAGAATTTCAATTGACAGCGATGCCACGTACGTAAATGATAAATTTAAAATTAGAAATATTTGTGACGCAAAAGAGCTATTATTTTATATATGTTCCTCCTCCATGTGCTCTAAAGTCCCCTTAATAATCGCTCGACTGGTTCTATTATCATTGCCCGGTGTGTCTCCGAGATTAGGGAGAAATAAATTGTCTTTTCCAAATCGTATTCAAGCAATACATTCGTCACACGACTATACAACTTTTTCAATTCTGTAAATCTCAATGTCCCGTAACTTTCGAACAAGGACAGTTGCAAATTTCGTTCCACTTATTTCGTAGCTTAATTTGTCGACTATCGTGCAAATTTATATTTTAAACTTGCAAACGAAAAATTATTACGATGATCGAGATCTACGAAAATCGGCCGAGTTTATAAAGATCTTGCGAATTGATCACTACGTTACAGTTACGGCGTTAAAAAATTCAGAAGCTGAAATAGAGAGACTCATTTCGTTTACTAGATAACGTAAATACACTGTTCTCGGCATTTTCTTTCTTTTTTTTTTTTCTTTTCCTTTCACTTTCAAATTTTCCTCGTAGATGCGCAAATATTCACGATCTAATGGTTCCCCGAGAAGCACGTACCGTCGATATTTTCACTAGAGTAAACACTGCACACTTATCTAAAACAATAAGAAACTGTCCTCGACAGAGATGCTGCATCTACTTTTATATTTAATGAGACGGCTCTCATATTATCCGAGGTGACATGACGTGAAGCGCATACAAAGTTCACGACACGAGGACAACACAGCGAATGCACAGCCAGAGATGGTCTTCAACAGACTGCTCGATAGCAGAGGCGCGCGGTGCTGTACTGTCACGATTGAGCGACGAAACAAAAGCTTCATACCTCTCCCTCCTCCTCGTCGTTTAATAACCACGCGCGTTAGAATGCTGTGAAGTTGTAGACGATGAATTTGTTCCGTCTCTTCGAATTACAAGCTACAAATATCACGAATTTCGAGTTGTAAATTCTGCCGTAATATTATCAGGCAGGATTTACATAAATATTACACAATTTTATCTAGATGAAATTACATTATACCGAGAGTAAAAAGTAACAAGTAAAAAGAAATAAGATATATGAAGAAAGAAAGAGTGGAATTTGATTTCTATATATTAATTCGTGTAATTTGTTTAGCAATTATTTTTGCGCTTCTAATATTTAACATATTGAATTTGCTAAACTCAGTAAAGGTTAAAAGTCTAAAAAAAATCTAACATTCGAGATACTAAGTTACTAGTAATCGAATTTTTCTCGAACGCATATCGCAAGGTTACAAAGGATGATTCATATTTCTACAAGAAGTAATATCTGTTAGTACGAGATTACGACTAAATATACAACTGGAATTTATTTAAAATTACTTACTTATATTTATACAATATCCAAAAATTAAACAACTTCAAATTTAGATAATTTTCACAGTTTAACATGTACCTTGAATCATTATGTATTTTGAGTTATTAAATATCATTTTTCAAGTTACTAAGAAACAGGAAGAGAAAGAAGAAAAATTCGATTATCTTATAAAATTTTACTTATAAAAAAATACTCACAAAATATCATTGAATATTTTTCTTCAAGTAACGAACGGAAACACTCGCGTAATTTTCAAAAAGTCCAACCAACGAGTGTTGCTCTGAAATATATGGTACAATATAAAGCAGACACCGACTGAGACGAAGAATTTATAATTTTCGTCGAACGATTGTTTATCAGATATATAAAATATCTACCTGTTTAAAGATCAGCTCTGTGATAAATAACAGGTGTGCAGGTCTGAAGTTAATTGAACGAAGTCACTTAGAAGAAACTGATTATTAATTATTGCATCGAAATTTCAAATACGTTTATCTTTCTGACCCGAGCTGTAATCTTTACAAGCTGCCGATGTTGAAATTCTTGAATCAAAATTCCTGAATCGCTAAACCAATACATATACATATATATATGTATTGCTATATCAATGATGTATAAAAACGTTGCACAACTAAAAGAAAATATCAAGAGAGGAAAACTGTGCATTTATACTCTGTTAATGGAAAAGGAACTATGCACTGCAGATCTAAACCAAGATACCGTTTACTTCAAGTATTGCTGCACCATAAGTGAAACTTTACTACCACCTCTCTAGGCATCACGTCCTTGTTTCAACACAATGTTAAAAGTACACTTGCCACTCTATGCATCATGCACTGTATCAATTGATATTAAATTGCGAATCTAACAAGTACCATGTTTATGTGAGCTCACATCTGCGTTTGTTTACTAGTGTTAACAATAATAGTTTACTAAAAAATTTCTTTTTACAATCAGGACAGGTAATCTGTAAGTGAAATTACTATTCAATTAATATTTGCAAATTTGTATCTTACGACTTCTAAAAATCTCACTGATAACGTTAATCTTGTAATGAGGGCCGTGTTTTGTAAATTCTGCGATTCTCAAACGTTCGTATTTTAATTCTCTACTCCTGGCTTGCAGCAAGTGAAAGAATCTCTCGAAAGCAGAAATCATATAATGATACGTACATGTGATTCTTTTAATGTTTATATCTTGAGTAACTTTTATCTTGACAATTTAAAGGCACGATTATTCTTAATTTCATCGCGATTGAAAGATAAATATGAAATGTGCTTGAAATTCTTAAGAAATTTTTGAGAAATATGTTTCAGTTAATAGTGCTGCGAACGTAAATAATAAGGTTAAATGTTTAATATAAAATGCGTGCTATCTCTAAATCATCAAATGTATTAACCTTTCGTTTAATCGTGCAAAATAACTCAATGCTGTATAAAATAATTATAAAGTAAAGTAAGTAATAGTTAAGATTTAATTGGCGTATCGAATCTGAAATAAATGTGTACATTTATTAGATTTAATATTATTTAATACTTGTCAAACTGACCAAAACGATGTAAACAAATATATAATACAATGAAACATATTCTGCAAAGTTAAATCATTGAACAAAGATAGAATAGATATAACCATCGTATAGAATTTCATGTTGTTAAGTAGGAGACATGCAATTACAAGGGAGCACCAATTCTCCTTTCTATTAAGAAAACTAATCAAATCTCTTTGATTCGTTTTCTCAATAAGAAGAATTTGAATTGAATTTATCGAAGAGAAGGAAGGACCATGGGCTTCACAGATCAAATAGCCCTTCAATCTATTTATGGTAAACGAAAATTTGATCGATTCATGGGTAATAAACATTGTTGCCACGTAGCGGAGGAACAACGAAACTAATCGCTGTTATCATTTTTAAAGAACATGATTATGTTCTTTATGTATCACATGATATATATTTGACCCTATTGAATATAACCATAGACGAGGTATATGAATAGACATTGCATCTTGCAGACTTTCGTGGCCCGTAACCTGAAATACCGACACAGTAAAAAATCACTGGTTTTTTAGCGCACTCTACGTTTAACAACGGTGAATTGGGGAACTAGTGAATGAAAATGATGTAATAGAATAAACTCTGTAATAGAATAAACTCGGAGATCCGGTTTCTTGAAATTGAAATCCCCACGCAAAATGACAAATGAAACCGTTGTTGTAAGAACATAATTAAGAAGTCATATTTTACAAGTTCTTACTTTTCTCGTCGCGCTCATATATCTTTTTCTGATTTGTATTTTGGTTATTGACCGAATTTTAAGACGACTCATAGCGTGACGAATTTCAACAAAGTATTTAAAGGGACATAGGTTTTAGATTTCTTATTCAAAGCATACTTGCTAAAGTACAGTCTAAGAGGATTTTGTCTAATACTGTTCTATTCGTCAGGAAACGAAAATATAAAAAACATAATATTTTAAATTTAAAAAGATTTAATATTTTAATATTATATAGATATAGATTATTTTAATATTATATAGATATAGATTATATAGATATTATATATATATAGATTTAATATTTTAAACATAATATTTTAAATTTAAAAGATCAGGAAAAAGATTTTTAATAAACAATTCTTTTTAATTTATTCAAATAATTGTTTTATTATTTTTAACAAAATTTCTTATTTCTTGAAATATATATATATATATTGACTTATTTTTTATAGAACAGTAAAATAAATAAATAAATAACACAAATTTTCTTATTTAAACAATTTTTTTCTTTTTCAATTTGATTTTTTATCAAATATTTCAAGACAATTCAACTTTTAATTAAAAAATAATTTATTTTTCGCTGTAACATAACCTAAATCTAAGCATTGATATAGTCAAATTTTCATGAATTATGCCTAATTTTCTCAAAACGATATCATGAAATTTGAACGAATTTAAGTAAACAAATACAAAAAGTGATA